GAAAATATTTAGAAGAACGTTTCCCTGAGGACTGTAACTTCAGTGACAAATTTGCAAAAGCCTACTTAAAGTTGATAAATAAACCGTTTGAAATTAAACTCAAGCAAAGGGAAGGTGTTTGTTACATTTAGATATAAAAACAAAATTATGCAAAATTATTTATATTATTTTACAAATATTTAGCTGATAAACAAGAAGTTAAGCAAGATCCTATTTTAAAATGTGTGTGAACTTTCCAAAACATCATTGCTTAAATACTGCCCAAATTTAACATGTTTCCAACCTGTGTTGCAGTCAGTCTCGTTGTACTGGTCATTCTTCCCCCAAATTGCCATGTCCTTCTTAGGTCTGTCCCAGGCATTTGTGGTTCCCTGGGCCTGGAGTGCCCTGCCCACTGCCCATCCTTCATGACCTGGCCAGATACCATCTCCTCTGTGAATGCAGTTTTTGATTCACAGCCTAAGCCAGCTTTGTATTTACATCTAGAAGCACTTATCACATCACAGTTTTTTCTTCTATGAATCTCTCTTCCTCATCAGGCTTACATTTTTTGTGTTTCCAGCCCCTCACTATAGACCCTATCATATAGTAGACATAGTAAATATTAACGGAATGAATGCCGTCTGTACTGGCAAAAGCATTACATATAGAACAAAGGCAATTCTATTATTATTTACCATTGTTCTGGACTTTATTAAATAAAGTATTGTAAGAATCCAGTATTAGGAAGATGGGAGAGGGTCCGACAAGAAGAGCCAACTAATTATTATTGTTTGCCTTGTGAGAAAAACTTAAAGAGGGCTGGGAAAAACCTCTAGCCAGAAAGAAGCAACAAAGTGACTTAGAAAAAGAAACAAAATGGGTATTACAGCAAGAGGTTCCTATTCTCTTCTTGAAGAGTGGCTTCATCATAGTTACAGTAATTCAGTATAAACACCTTTTTGATAGTAAGTGGAGAAAGACACTGGAAGAAGTCACGGAAGATCTGGGGAGAAGTCTGCTAGCCCCTGGTCACACCCACCAGCAGCTCTGTGGGGAGGGAAATGTGAGCAGCTCATGCCTGGCAATCTCACAGAGCTTCATAGCTCTGCATTAAAATTTGGAAATTTTCATAATCATCACCCAACTGATAAATACTTTTTTCACAACTGGAGATTTCCCAAAGCCATACTTACCGGAGGCAGTTGTAGGGGTGGGAAAAATGGGAACTGAGGAAGAAATGGTGGTCCTTGTGGTGGGTAAAAGTAAAATCTCTGCAAAAAGAAACATGGATGTCAGCGATTGCAGACAACTGTAAGCTTTTAAAATGACGAACAGGTCATTTGAAAATACAACTAGAAGTTTACCTGACCACTGGAACTGCCTCCAGATTGTTCGAGCTTGTAAAACAATAACAGCAATAAGGTGAAGCAACATATGGCAATACATTACTCATTACAAAGAGATTTTATTCTAAATGAGAACAGGTAACAAACCACCATGGAGCATTTTACCCATCAGTGATGTAGTTTCACCTCTGAAATAAAACACTGTTGACTACCTAATAGGGGAAAGTTGAATTGTTTTTGTCCAGTGATCAGAACGTGTACATTTTGCCTTTAAACTTATTTCCAAAAAATGTGTTTATTCACATTTCTTCAAGTTAATTACATATTGGATGCCTCTTTATACTTGAATCAACAATATTCTGTTTACTTCTTAGCATTTAGAAGTTCAAAGTAAAGGGAGTATGGATATGTAAATTTAAATTTTGTATCCCCAAACACAAATTGTAAAAGCTCCCTTACTTCTCCCAAAGCTCCTTTGTTGCAAAAGAAAAAAAAATGTGCAGGGGAGAGACTTGCCTACTTGGTGTCCTACATATTCAGACTGTAACAGACACAGATTTGACTCTTACATCTCATTTGTATAGCTGCAGAAGGCATGGTTATAGTCACCATGAGATGGCTTGGGGTAAGGATATTGTAAATAACATTCAATTCAAACTGTGTAATTAAGACCTAGGTCATTGCAGAGTATTTGTTCTATATTGCCAAGTTTATCTGAGAGTCCCGTGTCAAAGTTAGGACTCTTCAGTGCTTTAGATGTGTTTTCATCATTCTCACAAGGTTCTGAGGCAGTTCTTAGAATTCATTTTACAGACAGGGAAGTCATGGGTTAGTTCTTTCCTCAAGGCCTCACACTTAGCAAATGGTACATGAAGCTGGGATTTGTGACAACAGTACATTCCTAACATTACAACTTTTGTGGACTCCACTTCCCTCTGTTGTGAAATGAAAGCATATTCAAAATGCTTTCTAGCCCAGAAATACTGTCTCTAGAATGGAAGCGGAGTGGACAGCTCGCAAGGGCACTCACCGGGATGGGCAGAGCAGGGGCAGTGCTCAGGAGGACAGCCAGGATGAGAAATTTCATTCTGAAGAAAGTCTGGAATGGAAGGGTTAGGAGATCGTTGTCAGTTTTTTCTATCTAAACTCTATTCCCATTGTAAATAGACTGTCTAGTTAGAGGTTTTGAAAGGGTGGTCAGGCTAAATTCTGTCTCTAGATTCAGGTTTTGAAAGCCTACGACAGTGCTTTAAACACTTTGCCGTTAGATGACTAGCTTTCTCTGGCTCATAACATTGCATACAATTTCTACTCTTCCTCATAATCTCACAGGTCAACCTATATCTGTTCGGTCCCTGAAGTTATTTGAATTTGTGATCTCTACCCACAAGCCTTCAAACACCATTGACATATTATCCTTAGTATGGGGAATGTGCCACTCCTGGCTCAAATGAGATTTCTTATGTAATATACAAATAAATCCACATTGAGCCTCCACCCCTGTGAGACTCACCAGACTCTCACATGGTCTGGATGCTGTTACTGACAAGTATCATTTCTCAAGAAGGAAATGATATGGGTTGGTTGACAACAAGCACTATATGAGTAGGTTCAATAGAGCAAATAAATGTCATCTTTACCGGACAGCTGATCCTGAAAGCAAATGGTCATCAACCATTTTTAATTCAAATGAACTTACCTTGTGAATAACTTTAAAATTACCGAACTTTAGAAATAAATTTTGGAAGAAAAATCAACTTCATCATGTTCTTATTAAGACTTGTCCCTAGTATCTGAAGCAAGTTACATTTCTTTATGTATAAGTTGCTCATCAACTTTTTTATTTGTATTTGAAACTGAAATCAGATTTACTTTTGTGCTATGTTATTGTGCCTGATTTAGACAACTTATCCCCCTTGCCCTCCTTTTCCATGCCTCTCCTTTGTATTTTCCCTTCTCAGATTCAAATCCTTGACTTTCTTTTTACCTTTGTTAACTGGAACTATTAGAAATCATTAACTATCCAACACAAGAATATCTTTTACCTGGTCCAATAGAATCAGCCCAAATATGTCCTTTTAAAATTACCTTTGCTTCCAATGGGCCTCGGAGCAAGAATTCAAGGAACAGTGTGATCTCCTGGAATCCTGATGCCCGTCTAGTATTTAAGCTGTGTTACTAATGCCTTTATGGTTATGGGCAATATGAGTCACAAAATTCAAAGCTAAACTGAATAATTATTTCCAGACTTGAAACTCCAACTTATAAAATATCTCAATTACACAGAGATAGGGTTATAGACTGATTACTGAGAAAATAACTCCATTCCCTTGATTGGGATTAGACTAATGTCTTTATTACAACCCACAATTAAAAACTGTGACCACCAAGAATATTAAAGTGTTTCTATGATATAGCATTTAGGGCAGCAATACACACAGGAGCCTTAACAGACAGAAAAATGTAAGCTTCTATAATTCGCTATTATTAAATAATATTTTTCATTTTAAAATAAAAGTTATTTTCAATTAAAACATTTTTAGTACATATTTAGATAGTGTATTTAGCATTAAAATCACTTTTCACTATTCCAAAACATGTTAAAAAAAACCTTTAAAATGTTAATTTAGGTCTAATTAATACCTCCAAATACAATTTCACTGTTCCCAGAAAATTCATAGGTAGAAACTTGGTTTGTAATTAGTTAAGACCTCTTATGACATTTCTTTGGAGCTAAACATAAGAACATTCTAAAATTTTTATTTCCCTAGTTGGAGAATATTATAATTAGATTTTGATTAATCAAATTGAACTTCATCTACACATATGGTGTGATGTGATCTGGTTAAGACCCATTGAACTAAGAAAAGAGATAAATACAGTTTTGAAGTTAATCAGACATTATTCTGATATAAAAACTTAGGGGCACATTCTCTCAGTGGTTATCAAAGATAATGCCCTTAACAACATATTTTTGATTGAAGAAATAATCAAAGATAATTACAGTGATGTATTTTTTTTTCCGGTAGGAAAATATATTTAAAAATATATTTAAAAAACCATTTTATTTTCTTTCAAATATTTTAAGTAGAATAAAGTGGGTAACAGGGTCTCTCAGACCTTGGAAAACTCTATTGCGATGTCTTTTATATTTTTGCAATCAGGCTTTTACTGTATTAATAGTTATCAAAGAACAGCTCAAATGAGAACACATTTTTCTCTTATGATAAATTTTCTTGCTTTCAATTTACAGTACTAATATTTATCCCTATGTTGGACATCAAGACTATTCAGGAATCTCTACTGTCTATGTTATCTTTACTTCATTTTGAGGACGTGAAATGTGTAGAAATTTTGCAGGGCTACCCTCTCTCTAAACACATAAAGACACCTGCATAAAAGCTAAAATTAGTTGCACCAAGTTGCACCATAATCATTCACATTTTTTAATTGAATTTGGTAAAGAACCCCCCTTATTTATTTTCTGTTTCAGTTTACATTATGACAAAGGACATCCATGAGCAACTACCATTTAACGACTGAATATTTGTTTCCCATAGACAATGTTTCTCCCAATCACACTCACACATTTTTTTTTTAGGTTGTAGGATCTAGGAAGCACAATTATAATTTGATATGAAATGTGAGTCCTTAAATAAATGACTAGAAATAAACATCAATAAGCATTTGGGTTTCTATGGGTTTTTATTAGGGTGTTAAGACATCAAAAATAATATACATTCACAACAAATGAGCATTATTTCATTTTCTTGACATGCACATTATATTATAGACAAAATGAACACATCTCACAAATGGATGCAGAGTGATGCGTTAAGCTCCCTGTTTACAAACAGCATACAGTATTTTGCATATATTGACTTTGCTTAATTTTAAAGTTTTATGTCCAAAGTTAATGTTAAATGCCTGGTGCATATGCAGTTATCAAGCAATTGCTCTCATTGTCTTCTCAGACATGCAAACATTTTGCTAAATTAAATCTACAAATGGCTGCATATATTTCAGACGTGGTCAGAACAGAGGAGGATGCTGGAAAGTTTGAGTTCTTTCGGCTCTTGATTCAAAACAGGAGATTTTCATCTATGTCTTCTGTAAAAAATGAAAACAAAAGAGCACATTTTTAGAAACTAGACAGAGGAGTAATATAAACAAAAACGTTAGAGCTGAAGGATCAGAGAAGTGGTTAATAAGGCAGCACGATGGTCCTCACCCCTGGTGGGATGTCAACATCGCCTGCGAAACTTTAAAAAAAATCTAACTTCAGGCTTCACCCCAGGCTCCTGAATCAGAATCCCCGGCGGGTGGGGGGCGGGGGGGTGGACAATGGCACGCATATTTTTAGAAAGCTCTGCAGGTAGTTCTGATGTAGAGTTGAGAATCACTGATAGAGGATAAAGGGAAGGCCAGCCAAGAAGTGCCAAGTATACTAATCTATAAGGGTCACTAAAATATAATGGAAATAACTAGATGTAGAGTGCCAGTTACATCAAATTTCCAAACAAATAATTGGAAAAGAACATGTTGCTGTACCTGTGGAAGAAGGCAGCCTCCTCTGGGGGATATAAGACCATGTCTTACCAGTATGGCCCACCCTTGCTCAGTAATTGTTGAGCAAATAGTTAAGGCAAATTAGTTGGAAGCATACTAAACTACTCCCTTGTAAGGGGCACCAGGTAACTTTCCCAAACAATTTAAATCTTCCTCTCATTCCACGAGTGGGAAAGGGTATGAGCTTTGGTATATACTTCTTTTCAGCACAGGCTTCATTTGTAAAATTGGGATAATAGTCTCATTACTTCTAAATTTACTTATATTAGCTTATCTTTGAATAGGTTTGTATTCTTGAATATATCTTGAATATATTTACATTTTTAATCTATATCTTGAATATGTTTATTTTTCTTTTCTCTGATGTAATTGCCCTAGTTCAAGTTCTCATCAATTCTTGCCTGAATTTACCACAATATCTTCTCCCCTGTTCTTTGGCTTCTCTGCAGTATAACCAAAAGAATCTTTCTTAAATGCAAATTCAGTGAAACCACTCTCTTGGTTAAAACACTTGGGTGAGCCTTCAGTACTCTGATGATGTCTTTAACTGGCTTGGTAAGACCTGCATGATCTGACTCATTTACCCTATCAGTCTCATTTGGAAGGCTTTTCTAAACATTAGTGTGCTATATGTCAATAAGTTTATGTATGTTATGTCCTGGGCAGTAAATAAGACTACCCCATCTCTTAATTGAATCCCTTTTGTACAGGAAAATGAGACCTGCTGGGGAAGGGCAGCATGCCCTAATTCACATAGCTAGTTAATGACAGAGTTGGAATATTTGAGCACATTTAGTTCACATCAAAGGCAATTAAAATTCAGGAAAACCCTGGTTAAAATTATCTTGTCTTCTGTTGAATTCTCAGCCTTGAGGGAAGAAAGAGTATATATACAAATAGAGATATTTTTTTTTCTTACCCTAGCTGCATCCCAAAGCAGTAACTTTTTTATTTGTTCTGACCAAATGTTTCATATCTGCTGTGTTGGCTTACTGTGTGATAATTTTTTCCCTTCTTCAAAATAACGTAATCACAGCCAAACCACAGTGAACAAACAAGACCATTAGGAGCTTTGCAAGTCACTGAACCTTAAGCTCTTCCTGCTCCTCCCAGATAACTGGCCAGCACAGAGCCTGAATGAGCCTACATGCTGAAGAGCTGCCAGAAGTTTCCAAAGAATAACAAAGCGTGACTGGTTTTTTTAAATAAATGGCTCAAATTTGCCTTTTGACCCCTCTTTTTAAATCAAGTTCCCTACAAAAGGGCATACATAAGTATGTCCTGCCCCAGCTAAGTTACCTCCTCTTCCAAATGGAGTGGAGAGGGCGGGGCAGCTGTACTTGGGTATCTTTCAACATGGGAATTGGAAAACAAGGGGCCACTTTTATGGATACATTTGAATTTGTTAAGTACTGTGCTTATAGAATAGGTGTTAGAACAGAAATTGACATTATCTGTATGAACTTGAGTCTTTTTTTGTCTCTATTTACTTTTTCTGTTGTTCAATTATAGTTGTCCCAGTTTCTCCCCCTTTGCTCTCCCCTGCCCTGTCCCCACTCAGTCAATTCCTACCATGGGTCCTTTATACATGTTCCTTGTGAATTTGAGTTTAATAACTTGTTAATTTCCTATCAACGCTAACAGGGTATAAATTGTATGAGGCAGCCAGTCTCCAAGACGGCCCCCAACGATCTCCACCTCTTGTATGTCCTCCCATATTGTAGCAGGGTTGGTCTGTGTGACCTCAAAATGGCAGAAATAATATGTCACTTCTGAGATCAGGTTATAAAAGACATCAGGGCCTCAAGGCTTGGGTTCTCTCTCCCTGATCTTTCACTCTGGTGGGAAGAAGGCGTCGTGCTGTGAACAGTCCTGTGGGGAGGATCACGTCCTGGGGAGCTGAAGCCTCCTGGCAATTGCCCTGTGACGGAGTTTAGGGCAGATTCTCAGCCAGAACCTTCTGGGTAAACTGTGCCTGGATTCCTGACCCTTGGAAACTGTGAGAGGGATTTTAAACTTCTGAGCTTTAGAGTCATTTGTTATTCAGCAATAGACAACTAATATGTAGAACTAGTTGCTTACAAAAATATATATTCTTTGTTCATTACAGTGCTTATTTCACAGAAAAATACTGAAGAGACAAAAAATTAACCTTTTCTGCTCATCAGTTTATGACCAAATAACTAAACTGTACTCTCATCTCTGTCTCTCTAATTTTAAGGCACTATATATATGCATAAAGAATATTTTTAAAGTGAAGGTCGCACAAGTTACCTCTTTTGGGGAAATTCTGACCTTTATGGAACTTACTTTTCTTTACTGCTTAGTAGCATATCATCCTACATGTATGTTGCGAATATATGTATAAACCTCTGCTTTAGAGATTTGATGTTCACTGTTCATTTACAGTCTGCAACCAGTTTTGATTGCATATGTTTAATATCTTTCAGATCTTAGTTACTGAAAACATGCTTGCTCATAAAAACAAGTCTAACTTAGGAAAAGAGAAGGAAGTGGATTAAGATATAACCTAGCACAACAAATGTCTAAATTTAAATACTTCCACTGTGGTGGTAAAGAAAGGACCATCTTTTTGTTTTATTTATTGTATTTTAGTCACTGAAGTGAATTGTCACTTTTGGATTAAAGGAATAATGCTGGGCACACCTTGCGGTGTAAGACCCAAGCTTCGGTGTGTTGCTTATGAATTCCCCACTGGCAGGGGGAGGCTGTTGTAGTCTTCACATGTGACTTTTAAGAATTCGGCCCAGTTACCCAGGTAACTTAATGAGGTTAAGAAAGGATGTAAAATCCTTTCCTCAGAAGGGCAGTCTTCTGAGATTTGGCACAGCTCTCATGATTCACATCGTTTTCTTAGGCTTACCAGCTGCTGAGACCTCAATGCAGTTTTCCCCTAAATATTCACATATGCTACTCTTTGAAATCAGAGTATCATAAACAGAGTAAAACTTAACCTCGCCATGATAGCGCGTACTCTGAAGGAGTCCTGCCTGGAACGCTGCCACCTTGCTCTGTCTAGGTTTCAGTTTGAACGCACAGCAGGACCTCCTTAGGTGGGCTGCCGGGCTTAGGGTTTGCCTAGAGAATGATGATGAATTTACCTTCTTTAATTCCAAAGCAGTGGCCCCACTCCTTCAGGGTGATGTGCTTGTCTTTGTTGGGGTCACACTCATTAAAGAAGCGAGTTATGCAGTGTTCCATGGGCACCAGAGACGCTCGCAAAGGAGCGAGTTCGGAATGTGTCAAGACTCTGCAATGATACAAATGAAAGCCTATTAATTGGGTGGCTTGTGTATGAAAGTTAATACTTAGAATCACTAAGGGCATTTTTCTTCTACAAGGTTGCTGATTATTGCCAAATTAATAGTACACTGACGAAAAGCTGCAAATGAAATAAACTGTTTATGAGGGTAACTTTTGGGGTGTCAATCTACAAGGTTCCCTTCTTCATTGAGAACTGTCCTCCCTCCACCCCAAATTTATAGGGGTGCACCCCAGCAATCATGTTTGTCAGTCTGGTCATGCCTGATTGTTCCAGACATAGGCACTTGACCCAAACTGGGCCAATCAAATGATCTTGGGACTTTATGATCAACAATGAGGAAGAGTTAGAAGAGTCTCTATGGGAGGCTGGACATTAACATGTGAACTTGGGATCTGGGGTGCGGCCATAATGTGTTATTTTCTTCAAAGCAGTTGTATGTTTAGACACCTAATCACATTTGTTTGGCATTTCAGCATTCTAGACTGAAACCAGGAAATTTCCTAAATCTGTTTAGAACGTTCTTTGTAAAGATAATTAGACGTTATATTAGGGAGGTGACCTAGTTATGGGAATGTAAAGAGTTTTTACCTGTCCACAGGATGCTGGTCAAGTTCACTAAATTGCCAGTGTACAGGATACACATACATGTGGTAGTTTTTCTTAAAGTCTCTTAAGAGAAGGTCAATGGAATGGTCCCCAGCCAAGAGCCTCTTTTCATCCAGGTAAATTTTCTTGACCTGTGATTAGGAAGTGACAAGATAGGGCATCAGAGAATCAGAGAAGCGCAATCAAATTATCACTTGCTAAACCTTACTTGAAGAGTAATAATAACATGACAGAGGAAAACAAGCCCAGGCCATTGTATGAGACTAAGTGACAAACCTTTTAATCAATGGTACAGCCTTTCTTCCTTCTATATTGAATAATGGCTAATATTAAAAGAAAAGTTTTCAGAAGAAATTTGTCATTTTTGACTTTCTCTTTTAAAGAAGTAATGTTTATTGCATTCCTTAAATCTATGAGAAGGTTTAATTGAAAAGGGCTAAACCGATTTAGGCAAAATTGTTGATTAATAAGTGGAAAGCCCTGTGCTTCCCCGCTGGCATATTCCTCCCTTATTCATTAGTGTATTGCCACCCATTGCCGGTTCAGACTCAGTTTAGCCCTGTGGTGAGACTGTCTGGCCACTCTCCCTGAAATTTCTGTTTTGTTTCTAATGCTCTCAAGGTTCTCTGTGCTGATGTAATAAAAAAAGAGGGCAGGAATTATTTGGAGCAATGTGCGTAAAACTCTCAGCTTGTGATGTAACCCATTATTTCGCTGAGTAGTTGGAAGCAGTCAGAATGGAACTTCTACCCATTCCTGTAACCACATCTATCAACTTCCCTTTTTATCACTACGCATGAAACCTCCCGTGCTCCTAATCTAAGCCCATCCCTCACGGGTGCTCACGAGCTCACCCCTTTCATCTACTCAAGAATACCCTATGGCAGTTGGGCATCTTTCCTTCTCTAGTGTATTATTTCCAGAAGCACACAAATATCTTCTGTCAACTCCCACTGGTAGAAGGGAACTCTTAAATCCACATTTCCCTCTGGCTTCCACTCTAATACACTTTTTCCCTTTACAACAAAATGTCTTGAAAATATTATTTATACTTGCTGTTTCCATACCCATTCCTCTTATTCTCTTTTGAACCCTGTCCACTCAAGCTTTTCTCCTCTCCACTCTGCATTAACAGCTCTTGTCAAGGTCAACTCTGATCACCACATTCCAGATCAGTGGCCAACTCGTAGTCCTTATCTTACAACCTGCACACAGCGTTTGACCCAGTTTCTGCACACCCTTCTTCTTGCGTTATTTTTTTCTTCATAGCACATTTCATTCTACCTGGCATGTTTTATAGATATTTGCATATATCAATATATACATATACATATATTTAAATACACACTTATTTGTTGAGTCCGTCTTTTTGCCTAGAGTGTAGGCTCATAAAGGCAGAGATTTTTGTTTTGTTCATTGCTTTATCTCCAGGACATGAATCAATCCAGGTACCTAGGATGCACTCAATAACCATTTGATGAATACATTTTTTTCCTAGGAACTTCTGGAGTCAATATTCTGAACAGTTTAATCTTTATATATTACTGACATTGTAAGTAACAAATTCTCCTGTATCATAAATCTATGTCTGGCTTATGAGGGCAAAAGACATTTAGATTGAAATAATATGTCTAGGCCTGAATATATAAATGCTGAGGTGCATTTTGCTTAACCACAAGTTGCTCTAGCTATGAGTTAAAGAGCCCTTGCTCAGGCTACTGCCCTTTGTGTAGGAACGGGGTGGTTTGGTCGTGTCCCATACCTTGTGGCATGAAATGTGACCACTATTATTCTGTTAATCATATGTGCTAACCAGGCACAGGGAGTCAAAGTGGGCTTTTGCTATATGCAGAGGGAGGCAGTGCCCCTCCCCATCACTCCTCCAGTATCTTTTTTCCTCATGCCTTGTTGACACACACTTAGGGAGCTGATGGTGGATAACTTACTTTATTCCTCTGCTTCTCATTTAAATATCCAGAGTGTTCAGGGTTAGACTCATAAAGTTGCATGAGGATATTCTTGAGCCAGTCTCTCATTCTTAGAGGAAACTGAGTCACTTCAAAGTCCGTACAAGCAGGAATAGCTGTTTCAAGCAGAAAGTAAATCAGTGTTAACCTTTGTGGCTTACTCCTGTCCTATGGGAAGTCCTCAGAACAGGTAGCGAGGTGACTCACAGCATCCCCGCTGCCCAATCATCACAACAGTGACCCTTAACTCTGGTGGCACAGAATGGCCCTGCATGTTTAAAAAATATTTCAGATGCCAACGTCCATTCACAGAAATTCTGATTTGATTGCTCTGGGGTGGAGCCAAGCTATCAGGATGTTTCAAAGGCTCCAGAAATAATTTTGATGTACAGCCAAGGCTGAGAACCACTTCTCTAGAACCAGAGAGCTGGGATTTAGAGGTGGAGGACACAGAGTTATTTATTAGAGGAAAAAGGAAAAGGTAGAGGTTAGCTTTTTCTGTGGTCACAGCATACTATTTTTAAATCTTAGTGACTTAAAGGAACAAAAGTTTGTTTTTTTCAGTTCTATTGAGATATAATTGACATAAATTAAAGGTGTGCAGCATAATGACTTGACACACTTACGTTGTGAAATGATCACCACAATAAATTTGGTTAATATCCTTCATCTCATATAATTCCAATTTTTTTTTCTTTACTTGTGATGAGAGCTTTCAGGATCTACTCTCTTAGCAAGTTTCAAATATACCAGACAGCAGTGCTAACCATATAGACACCATGTTGTACATTACATTGAAGATTTATTTTTTGGTCCTGCTAAAAAATAAAGTCCAGTACAAGTTGGTCGGAGGGCTGTCTGTTCATTGCAGTCTCTGTAGGGCTCAGTGTGACGGAGACTCCTCCATCTCAACACTATTTTAACACAAGGAAAAGGGAACGCGGAGAACTGTACACCAGTTCTGAAATGCTGCTGTCCAGACTGCACATAGATGATTTTTACTCGAATTTCCTTGGACAAAGAACTCATATGGCCACATCTAAAGTCAAGGGGGCTGAGAAGTGTAATACTCTCATGGGTCCAGAAGGAGAGGAGAACCGGAAATATCAGAGAGCCCAGCTAATGTGGAGAACCACTTAGCAGCGAGGAGATCCAAAGACAACTGGGAATATCCTGGGAAAGGAAGACGATTAAAAAAAGAAAAAAAAAAAAACAAAACCTCTGGAAGAATATGTTGTCATTAAACTTCTTGGCAGAGGCTTAATTTGACAAGAGAAAAGGAGAAATAATTTAGCAAAATTTCAATGATTCATCTCAATTATTAAGCGGATAACATTATACAGTGGTTCTGAACCCTGGCTGCACATTAGAATTAAATAGGTTACTTCAAAAACAAGTGAAAACACAATGCCAAGGTTCCAACTCAGTAAAATAAAATTGAAATCTCTTATAGTTAAAGCCTGGGCATTATTCTTCTTATTTTTTTTAAGTCTTCCCAATTTATTTTAATGTGCAGCCTGGGTTCAGAACTACATTAGTTTTCTCCCACTTGCATATATATGTATGAGTACACATAAGTATATTATTCAGATATGCACAGATTCACCCCAAACCATCTCAGCAATGGCGGTTGGTAGTAGTGATGGAATCTTACATTTGCAGGCTCCAAAATAATCCAGCTGCAGTTGGTGGCCCTTTTTGGTCCCCTCTAGTCTGCACTTTGCAGCAAATAGATGACAGGAGCTAGCATAGGTCTGATTGTCAGTGCCACAAACCTAAGAAAGACAAGCATGAGGAAATGCAGGGGGCCGCTTTGAGTGGTATCGGGAACTGTAGTCCCGCGCCATCTGGGGCCTGAGAGAGGACACATAAGACTTGGCCGGAACACTGGTAATGCAGAGGCAAGCAAGACACAATAATAACTCCTAGGGCCCCTGGGGGAAATCAGATTTAGAAGTAAATTACTCTCCTTGAAGCATGCTCTGTTTCTCCCTCAAACTCTGTTAATCTTATACCAGATAACCAGCTCAAGGCTGGGAAAGAAATTTACAAAATTCCTGGACCCTGACCCATATCCCACCTGGCACCATAATGTTTGCTCAACTCGGACCTGAAGCAGTTCGGTGTGTTCCTGCCATGGTCTTCTTTAAACAACATTTAGTCTCTGTAAACCTAAGCTACTGATGGGATTAGATTACCTATACATTGCTGCTACCTTCCCCAATGCTCCCCCCTGCCCCGCTACCCTCCTTCTTCCCCCTTCTGTAACCTTCTCAATAAAAGCCACTGAGCACAGGGGTTCAAGGCATTCTCCTTTAGAGAGAATTGCATTCCCCTTTCCTTGACAGGCAAACAGTGTCGGGAACGGCTCATTCTTTCATCCATGGTGAGCCAGCGGACTTCGTGGGACAGGGCTTCCATAAGGAAAAGGTCATGTTTCCGGATGTTCGTTGGGAAAACACTCTACTCCTTGAAGCTCACAGTCTGTTTGGTAAAACTGTGCCATGCCACACATGCGCTCAGGTAGGTGAGGCCATTAAAGTCACAACTATCCCGCTCAGCACAAAAAAAATCAGCTAAATTATACCAGTGGTGATGGCACTTTAGCTTTAGGTGAGTGGAGTAGAATGAAGACTGAAGATATTCCAAAGAGAGAATAAATTTTAAAATGATTTCTTATAGATCAGTGCCATTATTACCTTTTTAGGGCACAGGTAAAATTCTTTGATTTTGCTGGCATTTGTTCCCATTTAATATTCATTCAAATATTAGATAGTATCCTGGGCTTTTTCCTTTTTTTACCCCAAAATTTCAATTGTTCCTGTCATTTAAATCGCTATTTGGTGCCCCTGGGAGACCAGTTCGGAGAATACTTACTTGGTCAAGGAGTTTTGTAGGAGGACAAGTCATTGGATCTTGACACACACAGTGGGGTTTTCCCTGTTGGTCAGCTTTACACATGTGTCCTCTCTTACACTGGAAATTCATACAAGAATCTAAGAGAAAAGTGTGGACAGGATAAGCTAAATTGAATATGTAAAATCAAATTAATCCAGATAATTAGCTCCATTTTCATTAATAAGAGACAATTTGGGAAAACATTAGAAACCGTTTTAGTGCAATTTGCAGGTTGGGCCCTCTGGCATCAGACTATTTTATACAATAGCCTAGATTTTCTATGCACTTTGGATCAGAGACTTAGAAAGAACAAAGAGCTCTTTCCAAATCTCTGCCTGCGATGGCCATAATCTGAAGTCTGCAGTACAGTTTTGTGTGAGTTGTTTGATAATAAGCCATGAGAATTTTGTTGTGTTAAAATTTGAAGTATTTGTGATTGGGAATTAGGTCTTAATTAGATATGAGACCTGAATTTATTAGTAAATGATGGATTTAAGAATCAAGAGGGAAAATTAATTCTTCTCAGAAGCAAAAAGATTTAGATAAAAAGAATTCTAGCTTTTGCAGTAATGCTGCAATAAGACTTCCAGTTTGTAAACACATTTACCTGTAGTTGTACAATAGCCCTGCCCCTTACTAGCAGGGGATACTTTTCAAGGCCTTCAGCGGTTGCCTGAAACCATGGATAATACTAAACATGCTATGTTACTTTTCTTATACACACATACCTATGATACTGTATAATTTAGATATCAGGCATTGCAAAGCAGTGTTAAGCTACTATTGACCTTCTGATGATACGTTAGGAGGAAGATCATTGGTTTTGGGTGATCCTGTATCATCAGGAGGCTGCTGATGGTTGGACTTGAGGAGCAGATGATGTTGATGGTTGGGAAAATTTAATATTTTTGGACCACTATTGACTGCAGATACCTGAAGCTGTGGAATGCAAAACCACGAATGCGGTGGACTACTGGATATTCATATGTGTGCAAGAGAATGTCTGCAATTGATGAGAGATTTCCCTGGGGAGAACTGGGGAGAGGAGAATTCTGTGCAGTAGTCACAACAAAGGGATAGCAATAGCCCAATGTGGCCTATTCCATCTCTTCCTGATAGAGTCACAAATGTCTTTCTTAGCCCATACTCACCAACATTGTACACATTCATGTTGCCTTCACTTGAACTTTCATCTTCATTCAGTGAACTCTCTGCTTTTTTGGCCTTTATAATAACAAGAGGAGAAGTTTGAGTCTATTGGAAAGCTGTTATATGATTTATGTTTCTACTGTGCATACCTTCACAGAGCTTTTCCCATTCAAATCATTTCATATCTCAAAAAGAGACAGCGGTCCCAACAGACAGCAGCCTTTTGAAAATGGGAGCTATTTCTATCTTCATTAACTGTATTCAGTGCTGTAATTCTGGAGGTTAGTTAATAAAAGTTGGTACTAACATCAGGAGAAAAGCTGGAGCCTCCCCTTTGGATTTGGGAAAAGAGCAGAAATGTGATATTATCATACAATTCTGTGGTTAGTAATCTCTGTGAAGCTGCTGGTAAAGGTTTCTTACCAGTTTCTAAAGTGTAAGAAAACTCCTACATTAAAATGACAACAGAGTTCTCTGTAATTGAGGTTATTATTGACCTCGCCCACCAAAAGCTGTGTCAGGACCTCCTGGTGGGTGGCTGTCAGGGTTTTGCACGAAAGCTCCAAATGATTAAACAACCAAACAACAATATGCTTCTCCCCCACTCTCACTCTGTTGTATCCCATTTACCATTTTGTGTGTTTCTTAATAAGTTGTAGCTGAAGTCTTTCTTAATCTTTAAGGCTAAATTAACAAACATTGCTGGATCTCTTATTATGTTAGAGCATTTTGCAGACCTTGCTAATTCAAATTGATATGACATGACACTGACAAGGCATGAGAGCAGCAGTTGTCAGGATTCCCGCCCCCATACCCGGCAGAGTCCCATTCTCGTTAGCTCCAGGGACTTGCAACTGCTGGCATCTGCGTCTTTGTGGCTTCAAAGCCATGGAATTCTATTAGACCTGCTCAAAGGACAGATTTCAAGTTCTAGGGAATTAACACCCCTCCTGGCAATTCTCAACCTGTGTAAATGCCCAGCTCCTTCATTGTCCACATGGGACCATGTAGAGGAATGTGCTTTACATAGCTTTCCTCAGGTTCCTTTGGTTAGCTTCCTTTCCTTCCCTGTATAACTTCTCTACTCTTCTTTGTTCCCTGAACTTAAAAAAAAAAAAAGCACTGAAATTCAGGGTTTGCTTTCTAGGGGAACACAAATAAAGCATTTTCAGTGTATTGATGGAGATGCAGAGGAAAATTAACTGTCATGTATTTAGTAATGTGCTGAGAGAGAGAAGTACAGGAGATTGGAAGAGCACAGAGAAAGGTCATGGCTGTTTCTTGACAAAACTAGCTGCTTTATCAGATAAACATCATCATAAATAATCTCATCCCTTGGGATTCTCCAGATTCACTGGTACCTACATTCTCACTCTCCTGTGCCCTTTCTCTTTGCTCCTCATGTTTGATGTGATAGTAATTGGAAGTAGCTCTCTCATCCACCTGGAAGGCCTCGCCTGGGGTGAGGTCGTCATCACTTGTGCTGTGTCTGGGGCCATCATCACCACCATCAGTAGGCTCTAGGAGCAAAGCCTCAGAAACAGTCTTTTTCTCCCTCTCCTCAGGGTTACTGATAACTTCAAGGCCAACTTTTTCCTCTTGGCCCTGCCATTCAGAATCTTGATTGTACTTGATTTTTGAAACAGTTTCCTCTTCCGTTTCTTCATTGGAGTTATCCTCTTCTTGTTCTTGGTGAACCTGCTCAAAATCATCTTTTTGCATCTTGCTTGCTTGAGTTGGTCGATTCAACTCTTCCAAAATATCATCAGATCGGGTACTGTCTTCTTCCTGCTTGCTGTTAGAATGCTCCGGGGAAAATCCTCTCTCCCTTTCTTGGTTATCACTGTGGGTGTCAACTGTACCTGGCTGTTTTTCTCCTTTCTCTTCTCCACTGGGAATGTTTGGATCCTGCTGTTGGTTTTCTTGATCACTTAGGTCTTCATTGTGTTTGCTGCTTCTGTTCAACTGAGGATGTAAATCAATTATAAGCTCTACTAGGTTTTCTTCTGTCGTTGTGATGCTTTCTTCTTGGTTAGAATCTATAATGAAACTAATATTAGGAGCAAGGAAATCAATGTTCTCTGGGAGTTTTTTCTTTTGAGGCTGACTCATATCTTCTTTTAGGTCCAATGTACCTTCAGTTGGTGTGTACTCCAAATTCTCACTTAAGTCAGTTTCGCTTTCCTCTTCTTGATCCTGTAATCCCAACTCTTCGCTGTAACTCTGGTCTTGATCTGCTGACTGGTCATGGTTTTCCTCCTTTGACTTTTGTACTGAGGATTTTTCAGCCTTAAAAAAAAAGGTTTATTTTTAAACAAGTGGTAATTTTATTTTTATATATATGCTACATTTGTAATTCATAAGCCAACAATTAATATTTATTCTTTTTCTTCATATAATTGGTAAACTTAGAAAAGTTATATAATTGTATATTATATAATTAAACTTATATTATAGAATGTTCTTCACATTCTATAGCTACAAGTTTTACTTGAGTTTGAATTTTGTGAAATGAAACAATTATATAGCACCTTAACCCAAGAAGTAAAATGATTCTTCTAGCGATTGGAGGCAGTTGATATGGTCATCTTTAAAGAAACTGAATTGAGACGAGAATGAAGTAATCTCTTTGACTATTCTTTGAAATGGAAACCTTTGGAGAATTTGGAAATTATGTTAGCATAACCATGTGACTTTTACCTTACTGTTAGGATGGTCTTCTACAGATGCTGCAGTTTCCTTTTCATTTTCTTCATTTTCAGCCCTTAAAATGGGTACTGTAGTGCCGTCAGGTGTTACTAACATTTCATCCTGTGTTACAGAACTCAAGGAATCAGCAGTTGGGTGGGAATGACCAGGTAAGAACCTTGCATTTGTCTGAAAAATTAAAAACTAGTTTGTATTATTGTGTACATTTGTTAGTGTTTAAAATTTTTAGTCTTTCATTGTCATCATTATTAGTAGAAATACACTTTATTTCTAACATTAATAAAAAGATATTCTCTAGAATTTCTATGAATACAAATTTTCAAAATATAATCTTAAGCAAGAACAGAATCTCAATCATGTTTAACAAAAGTTATATATGCAGAAACTGGGTGGAAATACAGCAAAATTAACTTTTGAGTTTTGGAATTATTTTCTGTGTTTTTAAAATTTTTATTAAGCATTCACACTATAATTTTGAAACATATTGTTTAAGAAGAAAGTTGAAGTTAAATTAACCATATGGCATAGCTTTGTATGTTTTTCATAGGGTATAGCATTGTACATTTTCTTAAGTTAATTAAACACTGATAATTAACAGAAAGGTTATAAACCTTTTATTCAATATTTGTTTACTTTCTTAGTGCTATCATCCTGTATCCAACAAGAAACTTTTTAATAAAATCGATTTAATGTCAACTAATTAAAAGCTGTGGAACGAGGCACCAAGTCTAATATGAAAGGGTAGCTATGATGTATTTGACTCCATCTATTTCTAGCAAGATTGGAGGCCTGATGGAGAAGTTGAGATAAGTCACCTCCCTTCAAGGTGACTCTCCTATTTACTATCTGTCTGTCTTTTTGTTCATCTCTACCCTGACTTCTCTCCAGATGAACAGAAATATCAAGATAAGGTTATGTATATTAAAATATTTTATAAATTTTAGGGAGTTAGTTACTTAAGTGAAAAATTACTATAGCTAGTAGTAATATCATGCAGTGGTAATAATATAAATTGCCTGATATCTTAGGCAGGTATTCACCATGAATCTTTATTTAAGAGATGCTGTGGACACTCAGATATCAGAGCCAGGTACAAGTATAAAATTCAATTCTATTTGGATTGACTTGCCTTTACTCCATTAGCAGGTCCTGTAATACTGATTGTGCAATATAAAGAAAGGCTTGGAGTACAGGATTTATTTTAGATTTGGTTGGTTCTCTTGCTTTTATTATCTTTTCAACTAAGAAGAGTGATAATATTTTAAAATATTTTCAAAGAAGTTATTTTTCAGAGGGGAAAGAATGACGACCAGGTTGGCAAGTTGCTGGCAGGAGCACCATATAAGTCAATGGAGGTAGGAGATTTTAGGCTTATTAATGGAGAATTGCTCCTTCTCTCTGCTTCTTTCCTCTTCAGTGTCCCCTCCTCAAAATGGAAAAATGCACAAGAACATGGCAGCTTATTTTCTTTCAGAGATATTCTGAAAATGAAATTGTTTCATCATTATGCTCATACCTATATTTATAGCAATATACCCTCTGGAAATCTGCATGGCATCTTCTAACCGCACAAAATCAATCAACTGACTTTTGGAAAACTCAGGCAGGAGGGGGAAATTATACAAGATTTCTAATAGGTAAATCTATGAGAAGGCATTTTGAGCACTTCCTGTGTCCACGTGATAACAAATTGTCCTAAAATGGAAACATCTGGAATGTGTCTATATGCAGGCATGTCATTCAAACATTTTGTCCACAGACGTGTTTGCTGCCTGTTTAGATAGCAGCAACAGCTGTGAGGGGAAGACACATTTTCAGGAGAAAACAATGGTTCTGTGGGAGCTCCTTTCTGTGCTGAACATAATTTCCCCCATGCTTGTAATTTCTGAGGACAGTGTATGATTTCAACTTAAACATGATTCCTAGCAGTGGTCATAAATTCTGTTTCCTAAGGGCTGCTTGGCCCCGGAGGCATGGTGTTCGTCTTCCCTGACACATCTGTCAACCAGAAGCGACCCACCAGGTTACCTAAAAAGCAAAGATAGAATCTTAGACATAGAGATGGAGGGAGAGGAGGGACAAAAGATAAATTGCTTTCTTTATTTAAAAAAGCCTTATTCCTCCAATTGGTGAAAAAGAAAAAAAATACACAAATGCTTTAGTGTGATTAAGGATGGATGATATGTATCTTTGGGGGACGTTCAAATGATTATCCAACCGTGTCTGTATGTGTATAAACTTTCACATTACTTAGAGGCTGCTGACATGTCTCAAATGATTTGATTTGTAAGGCTGATTTATTGCTGTGTATATGGGAGGGCCTTATATCTGACTGAGGAAAAGAATGTTCTAGTGCTGTCTGCTTTTATCATGTTTAGTTGGACAAACCCCAAAGGATGAATTAAAAACTGTTTTATGGTTACCGTACATTTCCTGTCCCTAAGCCATTGGCTTGTTTTTATCACAGACTCAGAATTTCTCATCCAGTTTGCATTTGATTTTGAAGAAAAGGCTGCTGGAGAGTGTGGATGTGCACTCCAAGGTTTCTCATATGAGTTCCTTAGATTTCTCGTACTTATGTGATGAGTTTCCATAGAAGAATTTATTTCTTGCAGCTCTCTGTGGTATTTGGGCATATGTCCTGGCTAATAAACTGATAATCAACACTTTTAGCTACATATTTCATGTGTCTTATAGAATCTGATAGTTTTGAAAGAAATCTTTTTTAAAAAGTACCTTATCTCAATTTTTTTAGTCATTCATCCCTTGCTTGGGCAAAAAAAAATATGATTAAAATTTAAAATAAAGTTTAAAACCACTATATAAGAACGTTTTCTTTTAAATGGAGGATTTCTAAGCTAAATGTCAGGAGGGAGAGATGTAATCACAGAAAAAAGAATGTTTACCGGGATTGCAGCTGCAGTTCCCAAAATGGACAGGAAAAAGAGCACAGTCTTCATGCTTTCAAGACCTGTGAACCAAGAAAATAATGAGCAGTGGTGGGTAAGTTTCCTTATGAAAGGTTAAAATATAACGTTAGCACATACCAAGCTTAATACTGTCCTTTGTAATTAAAAGTGATTGCTGTCTTTGTGGGCTAACATGTCTGAAAAGACAGATTAATGTCTTTTCTCCAGTTCTTCCCCTGTGAGAAGGACTCCTGATATTTTGGCCCATCTACGTTTGGTGGAAGCAGTCTCTGTTTAGGATGGTGCGTCCTTGAATGAAAGCTCTATGCAAATCTTGCGTCTTAAGCCTTGTGTGTTCAAAGTGAAGATAAAATCGCAAAGTGAACTAATAAGGTATTTTATTATTATTTTTTGTCCATGTGTCATTTCATTTTATTTTCAAGCTAATAAACTGGTATTCTAGTGTCAACCTCAGAATCATTTGCCGTTTAGTTAGTGTAATACATAGAATCATGAAACGTTGTAAATGGACGTTACCAAATACCAAATAGTTCTCTAATTTTACAAAAGAGAAAACTAAAGCGCAGATTGGTTAAGTGACTTGTTTGAAGGTGCAGAGCTTCCCAGTATCAGAAGTAGGTCCTGATCAAGGCTGTTTTCCAGAAGAGTCATCTCTTTATCACATTATGCTGAATGCACTATGCATCAGAAACACAGCTAAGGAAAAAAAACTGACTTAAAGTAAGGGAGACCAAAGTCTTCTTCCAGCTCTTCCTTTAAGCTTTAACTGTCTATGCTTTTATTATTATAAGCATTGTAAAAGATACTGTACTTTTAAAAATATATAGTATTCTAGTTATAATTTTAAATGTCTTTACTACAGAGAATTTAGAAAATGCAGAAATGTATGCAAAATAATAAATATTATCTATAATTCTACCCACACAGGAAAACATTAACATTTGACATGTCTTTCCAGAACTTTTTTCTAGGCACACTCTTATGTGCTTTGCTACCTCCCCCATGCCCAAACAGTACCTAGCAAAGAAGAGAAAGAACCTGTGTGGATTAAAAACATAGTCTCAGAGCAAAGCCATGCTCTGATTGTACTGACCATGTGACCTTAGGTAATTAATTAACATCTTTCCCATTGATAGGGTCAAAATAGCTCCTACCTCATTACAAAGTTATAACAATTCAATGACATTAATATTTTGGAATGCTATGAATAGTGCCTGGAATATAAGTGCTGGATAAATGTTTATACAATAAAATAAGTAAATAGGTGTTTAATAACAGGTGTTTAAAAAAATGCCTCTCTGGTGGTAAAGAAGCTCTTACATTCAGTGAAGATTTTTAATCATGAGACATTGCACTGCCCTGAAGGGACCATCAGTGTTCACCTAATTTAGAAGCGGCAATATCTTGTTGGCAATCTGAGTTGGTGGTGGCCTGCCAATGGGTTTTATAGGCACTGTGTATTTTAAATTAGTGTTTAAAAACCTGGAGATTTCATGTTAAAAATGCATATTTGCAGTTTCTGTTGAAATATTGGCCCTCTTAGCAGCAACAGACTTTCATCCCGACAGTTGGCTCGATTTGAGAAGAGACTATCCTGTATAAGGGATGCGGGCATTTGTACCCGGTGCGTTTCCCTTTTGCTATTTGCGTTGCATTTGAGTTTAGTTAGTTCCAAACTAACCTTTTCAGTTTTGAGATGAAAGAAGTGAGGCTGAGAGGCTAAGTAAATTGAACTCCCATAGAAGGAGTGGACCATCTACATTTGCTGGCACAGTATCCTAAGCCTGGTAGTCTGAATTCTGACTGAGATTGCAGATACAGTATTTAGCCCTTAGTAGAGATTTTTCTGCCTCTGAATCTCCCAGAAATAGTAGATAACACTTTTAAATTACTTTTTGCAATCATAGTTTTATACATTAATGCATCCACAGAGTTTTAAATTTCACTTTGATGTTTATAAAGAAAATGGGTAGTTTCTACTGCTAGTTACCTCAATATTTCTAACTAACATGCTTAACATGCTATATTTAAAAGTATACTACACTATGCATTATTCTACTGATTTAATACTGTAACTACTATCACTTCACACACACACACACACACACAACATATGCACGTCCACACATATACGAACTCTTCCTCCTTCCCCTTCCCTCTCTTTCTAAAATAATTGTATCACAAGTCTTCTCTTTTCTTTTTTTAAAATATTTATTTTTAGAGAGGGGAATGGAGGGAGAAAGAAGGGGAGAGAAACATCAATGTGTGGTTGCATCTTGTGGACCTGCTACTGGGGATCTGGCCTGCACTGGACTTGAACCAGAGACCCTTTGGTTCGCAGGCTGGCGCTCGATCCCCAGAGCCACACCAGCTAGGGCTCACAAGTTTTATTTAAATCATTATTTAACATTTATGACAGTGTAAATATTCATCATATCTGGCAATCTGTTTTGTGTTGAATTATAATTAAATTTCTTGAACAATATTTTGATTTTGCCTGGACCTAGAAATTTCCTCCCTTTTTAATGTATTTTTTCATGTACCCATCATTTACACTTCCTAAGTTTTCCAAACAAAATTTAAAAATTACTTTTAATAGGATAACAACAGTAACAATAATAAAACCACAACAAAGAACTTACAAAGAAACCCCCCCAGTCCCATCAGCCCCTTGGAGGTCCCTGCCAGAGTGTCATTTCTCTTGCTCCATTTGACAGATTTTCTCCTGGGATCTCTAGCCACCAGCACCGTGGAAATAGCCACCAGCACTCATCTTTTGTGTTTGAGTTCTTGCTTTCTGGGTGTCATATACATATTTTTTGATGCTTTCCCTCATTTTCATGGAGCATGTCCTCCAGAAGCTTCTTGAGAAACAGTCATAGAGGAGACAACATTTTTGAGACTTTGCATATCAGAAGAACACCTGCATTTTTCTTCACTTGATGCATAGTTTGGCTGGGCATAGAATTTTAGTATGAAATTATTATTTTTTCTCTGAATTTTAAAGCATGTTTCATTTTCTTCTGGTTTCCAGAGTTGCTAGTGAGAACTCCAATGTCAGTTTCCCAGGTTATTTCTAGTGAGAACCGTTTTTATCCTTTGCTTCTGTTTTATTATTTATCCCCAGTGTTCTGAATATTGCAATCTCTGCCTTAGTTTGTGTTCATTTTAACTTATTTTAGGCACCGATTAAGCCCTTTGAATTTGGAAATTTATATATTTCAGTTCTGGGAGAATTTATCTGTTAGTTCTTTGATAATTTTTGCCTTTATAATTTAAAAAATGTGTCTTTTCCTTCTGAAATTCATATTAGTTAAATGTCAGAATTCTTGGAAAGATTCTTTAATTAACTTACTACTTTTTCTCCTCTTTTCCATCTTGTTTCTATTATTATGGGAAACTTCCTCAATTTTATCTTTCATTTCTTCTATTGACTTTAAAACATTTTGCTCATATGCTTTTAATTTCTTATTTCCTTATGACCCCCCTTTTAATATTATTCTCTTCTTTTTCATTAGTATAATATATACTCATCTTTTGGAGGATATTAATCTGTTGGAAAATTTTCTCAGCACTCAGCATTTTTTGTTATCCCTTAAGGGTAACAAAAATAGAATAGATTAAAACTAGAATAGAATAGTTATTTAAGGTTATAAATGATTTGAGATTTTTCCCCCACATTCAATCCTAGGTCTAGAATAGATGTCTAGTTCCAAACATCGTAAGGGGTAATCCCTGTATTATCCCTCATTTTCTGGTTTGTTTGTTTTGGTCTTTATTTTGCACATTGAAAGCTTTTCTCAGATATCTAATGTCTTTCATTGTCCAGTAATATTTAGTAGTGAGTCACTAAAAGCCAATCAGAGGTCTCATGGGCAGACTTGTCACCTTGGAGAGCTTTCATGGAAGGGCTGAGGCAGGAACTTAATAGTTTTGATAGGGCACACTAAATGTCATTGTCAGATATTTCTCTTGGGGAGATACTGTTTTTCTAGAGAAGATCATATCTCCTACCTTGGGGAGGTGGGTATAAGCTTGGTATAAGTATTCTATGAAATGGAGCGAAGGGACTGGAGATCTCTCATTGCATAAACTGACTCTCACTTAGTCCCTCAGGTTTCTGGGTGGCACCACATACTACCCTCCATTGTGCCTATCTGTCAGAGCCAGGGGATAACTTTCTCTTTCCCGCTTCAGGTGAAATGGGCGTGAAGTACACTGGCTGTACAGGCACAAGGATAGATCTCATGTTTGTTTATCTGATAAGCTTTTATTCAATCCTCCTGATTTCAACTTCTACCCTCACTTCGTCTTCCAAATTACCCAGTGCCTCCATTTCCGGAAACATTTCTGCGTTCTGCCATGTGAATTGGCTTCTGTGTTTATGGTAACTGTCTCTGAATATCCTTAGGTTTAAGTTTTCCCTGTTCTTCCAGCTACTATCTATCTTCTAAAAATTTGCTAGTATCTTTTATTTTTTTTCTGTCTTCTCTTTTTTCTTTGTCATTGTGAGTTTCTATTATAATTTTTCTTTTCTTATTATTATACTGGAATTTTAGTAGGGAATGAAAATATGTGCATGTTTTGTCAATCCCATTTAATTAACAGAGGTTTTCATTTCTTCATCTGATTTATATTTGCCTTATTTATTATTATTTTTTTATTCTTTAGGACACATAGACATTACTATGGGTATTTGGTTCTAACTTCATTAGCAAATAAAGTTTTTATTGAAGCAAAAGAGGCTATGGTTGCTAGCACAGACATCCTTATCAACAAATAAGAACTCATTCTCACCTATATCACTATTGGAGCCTCACAAGGTAAACACCTAAACTAGGAAACAGTGCTTTTGAAAAAAGGGAGAGTAAAGCTGCATATACAGGGTGATCTAGGATTGAATGTGGGGAAAAAAACTCAAATCATTTATAACCTTAAATAACTAATCTATTCTAGTTTTAATAAAAATAACACGTACTCTGCTTGAAGTTTTAAATTTAATTCTAAGGGACTGCTCTGAAAATGAGTATTTATAATAAGT